CAGTTTCTGTCATTGAGGCTGACACTCTGTCTACTTTTAAGATTAGACTGAAGACTTTCCTTTTTGATAAATCCTGTAGTTAGACTTAGGTTTCCTGAATTATTCTTTGGTTCTGCTATAGGTTTAAACTGCTGYAGCACAAACTGCTCATATTTCCTCACTCTGCTGCTGTCTTTAGTCGTTGTTTTAATTATTTCTTTCAATAACCTGTTTTCTTTGTCTCTCTTCCAGAGGAAAATACACCTGGACCAGTCCTGTGTTTGTTTGTGTCTCTTTCCTGTCCCCTCGGTTGAGGCAGATACGCCTGTTCTCTTTCTGGTTCTGCTGGAGGTTTCTTCCTGTTAAAGGGGAGTTTTTCCTCTCCACTGTCACCAATGTGCTGCTCAGGATGAGAGACTGTGACAAAGTGAAGAGTCAACACAATCTGCTGGCTTGTTTAAATCGTTTTTTGCACAGTGCCCTGAGACAACATTTCTTGTGACTTGGTGTTAAAGAACACACTATGGTCTCTCTCTGTCTCCTGACACATTTGCTTCCTCCTGGTCTTTGGATAACTGGTGTCGGTCGTAATAAAAAACCTAAATGTTTAATTTAAAAGAGATTTGGTAGGAGTAAAGAGAGAATCACACAGTTCAACCAGCTRTCATTCACATCATTTAGTGATTAAAAAGAAAGTAATATAAAATATCAATAAACCATGGTCTGAAATATGACTGGGAACTGACAGGGAGGAAGAAAAATATAACCTGAGTTTTATATAAACCCAAAAATTAAAAGAAACATTTTGGCTTCAGAGAAGTGTCACAAAAAGCTCCTCTTCACTCTTCATACAATCATTTGATTTTTAGCCAAATTTCATTTTTTCCTCCATCTGTTGTTGTTTTTTTTTATTTTTTACACCAAACAGCTAATTAAAAGAAAATCACAAATATTTGGTCATATTTCATGAAAATGCTTCCAGAATTTAGTTCAGAAGCTTCTTACTGGCAGCTATTTTAAATCCTTTAATTAAAAGCTTATATAAGGAAAACAGGCATCAAAGCCAACTTATGTGCCTGAAGAGCTGGAAAAACAATAAAATGGAGATAAAATCATAAAAAAAGACTTGTGCTGGCTGCTGCAGAGAAAAATCAGGGCTATTTTCCCCACAATCCCCTCTGTTTGGGAGGGAACATTAGCAGAGACACCAGCGAGGGCAGATGAAGGCATGAAAGAAAAACAATGATTTGGAGACATTTTGAAGGTACAAACATCCTGAGCATTAAATAAAGCAAGAAGAACTGAGATGTTTGGGGTGTCAGCTGGTCTACAGGAGGTTCTGCTCAGTCCACAGAGTCAACATGTTTGTGACTCTGAAACTGAGTCATATTCTGTCAGTGTTGGTCCTGATATTAAATGTTAGTAGATTCTGAGTTTGTTCCTGAATCGTTGGAATTTATCAGGCTGCATCAGTAAACTGRTGGTTTTTGTACAGGCCTTTGTGCTAATGGTCAACTGGGATAACACATTTTTATCTTTTACACATACAAAACAGACTTTATTTTAAAGAACAGTRTACAACAGACAGATCACTGTCCCCRAAATCAAARGATGTATTTTAGTTTTAAAAATGTTCTGATTTACTAGTCAGTGGTTTCTACCTGAGCCTGTGTTCCAACGTCTAAGATTCTCTAATTAAATATTTTTGTGTAGTCCCACGCATCTTCATAGAGACACAAAGCAGTCGTGAGTAATTAGATTACTTTGTCTTGTAATCTTGTCTTTGTCTTGGAAATAAAGACAAATGGGTCAGA